AAGCTTCCAGTGCACCACATCGGCTTGGGGCCGAGAACATCAGCGATGGATCCAAAGATCAAAAGCAGACATCCTGCCGCGAGGGCATAGACAGCGGCGGGCCAGAGAATAAGGGGCTGTGGAATGTCAAGATCCCTTGCAATGCGGGGAAGGGCGGCTATCAGAATGCCCGAACCCATGGTGTTGAGGAAGTTGATGCCTGTGAGGGTCGTGATGACGGTGATGGCACGAAACTTGGAAATCGACAGTCCCGAGCTCCCGCCACTTGGGCTGGGATCAGAGACTGGTTCAGAGGATGGGTTGCTCCCATCATTCTGTGTCTCTCTCCTTTCCACGTTCGGTGGCAATCTCACCTGCGAGGTGATATTAGGGAGGTTTATACCTTTGCCATGGTGGTGATTAAGGGAAGTGGGCAAAATCCTCATTTCAGTCTCCATCTTTGGTCTGTTTGGATGGTTATCCAGAGCGTTTCCCAGCCTATACGCGAAATCAGTGAGCTGGGACTGGGTTAATAAAAGTTTAAACCTCAAGGCACAAGACCAATCAGGGGACATGTTCTTATGACTCATTGTCCAGATTGGTGATTACAAATCATGAGTTCATAGACGTCAAGGGTTACCAAACACCATGATGAAGTCATGATCTGGTTATGAGTGGTCAAATCTTTTGCCTCGCTTCACCTCAAACATACTATCCTGTGGCAAAAATTCTTAATTCCCGAACTAGTCTACAGTTTTAGGAGCTCAATTTACAGTTTCATGAGTTCTTATCCTCAGAATTAGATGCAAACATGGTCGACCAAATGGCTCATCTGGCTTCCCATTTTGGTTACTGCTGACAACGGCCCAGGATCATTGTCCTTCTGTCACAGATAAATAACCTAAGCCAGTTTATCCTGCAAACCCTGACCCTGTACTGACGAGGAAAGTCTTCCACGTCATCTCACATGACAAGGTATTATTATTTTACCCAGTTCGTGCCCAGATGTGCTTATCATGGGCCAGTGTGGAATTGGTGTAAGAACCCAGCTTCTTGTTTGCCCTGTTTCCCTTTCCCCGCTTAGTCTCTCGATTTGCCCTTATCTTTTATGGCCTGTAATCAGTATTAGCTTCTTGAATAAGAGATGGGAGGGCATCACAGACCCATCGTCATTAGCAATATGCCCAGCTCATCAGCCTCTTCTAGCCACATTTCTGAGCGAAGGTCCAGCGTCGGCCCCGGCGACATATTCTCAAGATCGCCCAAAGTGTACACATCCAAACCTGCCCATCTGCCCAACCATCGATCGTAAGCGACCTCCCACTTCTCTTGGTCAGTGATTTCCCAGAGAACCTTCCCCGCTGGGGCCGGCATGAAATCCGCGTTGCTGCAGGGGAAACTCTCAAAGTTATTCAACATCGCGTTCATCCACTCGAAGCAGTAGAGACAGATCAGCGACCTTCGCTTGCAAGAAACTTGCAGCCATTCTTGCCAGGGTGGACGAGTGTGAGAGACCTCCTCGGGCATCATGACGGTTCCGGATCGTATGTACTCCCCGAATTCTTTCAGAGCTGCCAGGGTTGAGAGGTCAAACATTTTGGATGGAGGCTGGTGTGGTGCAGGAAAAAGCATTGCAATGGCGTAGATGATGGCAGCTTGAAAGGCGGCAACCAAAGTTGCACCATCGTATTCCTGGTACTATTGAACCTGATCAGATCCGAACTGGGTAATGTCAGAATCCAACTTGACGATACCTCATTTAGCAGTCGCAACAGTTCTGTCTTCATTGAGACTTTCAGAAAGTCACCTCCAGTTTCCACTGGCGAATTATTTGCCCACATTCGACATAACGCGAGGCAGTTGGAAAGCGGCCCCGCAGGATTCGAAGTCATTATCTGCGATCTGTTAATAAAAGGCGGCAGCCTATCGCAGGTTGCAAGCATTCGCGGATATGTTCGAAAGATTCGACAAAGGTGAGTAATTGCCGAATCGAATTGTGATTGAGTTCCACGCAGTTGGTGCTTGATCTGACCCGTGCATCGAAATGGGCTTGTAACATGCGGTGATGCACAAACAGGAGCTGGATCTCCTGATTCGATTGTGGTTGCAACACTATCCCCACGGCCAAGGTCTGAGGACGGAGGCGTGATCCGTGTTCTAGTTGTTGACGAGGTCCGACCAGGGTTGACATATTCACAGGCATCGCCCTGAGAAGCGCATCTGGAACACGTAGGATGCTTTCGGTCGCAGCCGAGTTTTCTTTTGGAGCACTGCAAGCATGACTTCCGTCGCGGGCGTGAGATTTCTCGTTCAAGACATTGTCTAGAATGCCGTCCAAACGATGAGCCTAGTGATGTCAGCGATCAAATTCCCAAAAAGCTATGCGTGCAGCATCAGGCGCCAGTGAATTTCTAATCCGGCATCACAATCTCCCGCAAGCCTAGAGAGATCAGGGTCGTCGGTCGGATACTTACGAATACTGAACGCTTTCTGACAAATAGGGCACGTAAATGCAGCTCCGGACACCTGGCCTAGTGGCTCCATAATGTTGTAACCCTTTCATGCGATACGCAATGCGCGAGATTTGTATTGGTGAAGAAAGATTCGTGCTTCCTGGGCGGATGGGATGGTGGAATGATGAGAGTTTCCAACCCCGAGAAGATGTCGGGAAACTAGCACGGAACTCCGAGACCAGGGGCTGGATTTAGGCAATATTAGGAACATCGCGTGAGGTTGCTGTTCAAATCTGCGGGGCAAACTGCAGCCAGCTCGGATCCCGGAACTCACGGATGGCGGAACGAGTTCTTTGCCTCAATATAGATCTTTGATTATCCCAATCGAGTTCTCAATCATGCGAATCAACCTAAACTAGAGTATTGTTAAGCAGATATCACATGGGTCAAATGACCAACACCGCTCATCAAGAAGTTTGAGCCACGGTGTTCCACGGAAACCGCCAAAGCACAGATCCTGTACCCTAGAAATCAGACAGATATAAAGCAACGACATGTCTCATATTAACACTCACTATTCCTCACTCCAGACTCATTTCTAAGCTCATTACACTAAATCCATTCCGCAAAATGCCATCTTACGTTGTCGTCGGCGCCTCGAGGGGCCTTGGTGTATGTTACCCTGACCTGAATTACGCACAAGATCTCTCCTCTAATTCGAAACAGTATACTTTTCTCAAAGTCTTGGCCGCTGATCCAAGTAACGTCGTGATTGGTCTTGTGAGGGATGTCGATGCTGTGCAAAAGAGGCTTGATGAGGACAAGCTTACATCTGTCCGCGTTTTCAAATCGGATGTTACAAACCTTGATCAGCTCAAGGTATGCGCCTATTCATATTAGCACCCCATTCTCTCCTGCCGGTTATGAATTTCAAATTTCATTTTCGGCTTTGAAATATGCTAATGCAGGGTCAACAGGCCGCTCGTGCAAGTATCGAAGAAATCGTTGGAGCAGTTGATTATCTTATCTTCAATGCGGCATACAAGTCAAGAGAATCAATTGTCCGAAACCTCGCCGAATTTTCAGATGATCTAGATTTCCTAGAGGCTGAAATTACCAAGTCATATCGGGTCAATGTCATTGGCCTGATCAACACCATCACTGTTTTCATGCCTTTGGTCCAACGCAGCTCCATTAAGAACATCATTGCATTAACTAGTGGCATGGGTAGTTGCGACTTCGTTAATCAATCAGGCATTGATGGTGGCATACCCGATTCTGTATCAAAAGCAGCGCTGAATATGCTGGTGGCCAAGTACAATGTGACGTACAAGAGCCAAGGTGTTTTCGTTATGGGTATTTGTGCTGGCAGCGTTGACACTTTCGAGGGAGTGAGGCCTTCATGTAAGTCTTTCTACGTCGCATATCTTCTCTTTCTTCGGCTGATTTCGAGCTCTATATAGTCACGGAAACCGAAGCGGCCAGATTCGGTGAATTTGGGGCGAAACTCAAGGCCTATTCACCACGTTTCGCAGGACCAGTACCCCCAGAAGACGGCGCGCGCCAGCTGCTCAAGGTCATATACGCTTCAAGCCTTGAGAATGGAAATGGTGGAACATGCGTCTCCTACTTTGGGTCGACTACCAAATGGCTCTAAGGGCCGAGATCCGACACTTGAGGCTCCTGTGTGCAGAAGCATCACCGGAAACATGCAATCGTGACTTTTAGCCTAGACTTACTCCTAAAGCGACCTTTCTCCCCAGTCACTTTGGATAGAATTACCAAGACAATTTCGCCGAGAGGCGTCCACCCCCATTACTTTGTACAGATTCAGTCTCTCCCATCGATCGGCGTAGACATATGCCAAGGTCAAGCATCCATTCTCTTTTATAAATGACAGAACAGTTTCATCCTTGATTCTATAAAACAGCTCACTTAAAACATGAGAACCAAATTAGAGCCACTTTACGCCTCCTGAAAAAGAGGCGTGTGGGCCATACAGCTTCTAACTGACAGCAAGTAGATCAATGGCTTCAGGCTGGACTGTCGACATATCGCTTCTCATAGGATGCCATACGACAGGCCCACATGATTTCCCGCTGGACAGAGTATTTCCATCCGAAGACCCTGATCTGGACCGGAGTTTCCAGCTCATAGCCCTGATCCGGGCAGACTACCGATTACATGGCCCCGTCCTGTGACAAATGTGACACCACCGACGTCCTACCCGTCTGTAATACTGGTCCAGCTATTGGCCACTGGTACTCTGACCCTGAAGAAGAATGGGGGACCGAAGTCCTTTTTGATATACCTTGCATATCCCTCACAGACCATCCCGGATCGTTGCCAAGAAATAGCGGGTTTGAGCAAGTATGAGGCAGTTTATCAGCGTCGAATGAATGCGACATGAGTTCTAAAAGAAGCTTAAAAATAAGACTAAATAAAACTAACCATCCAGTATCTCATTAATAATTCATCGATCAGCTGTTGGGCCTTGATTCATTTTGAGACTTGGTTCTGAACAAATCAAGGTGTCGTGCTTGAGTGTGCCCTTTAGCACGTCCTACAATGGGGTGTCTCGAAGCCGTACGGGCACCACTGAGGCGCTGGTGTCTCATTCTCTTGACAGCCTATTTGCCTCTCGTAAGTGCGGATGGAGTTGGTATACTTGGAGCTGGTAAATGGCTTTATAAGCCAACCTGTGCTCACACATGCCGCTACATGGTACGGAACAACCCTCTCCTCTGCCAGACGGACGACGGCAGCAGCACGCATCAGAGCCATCACACCTCGTCGGCTAAGGACCCTTTATGCTGGTTGATTGATGATGCCTTTCTACGAACTATCGCCCTCTGCATCAACGAGTATTGCTCGCGTGAGGATGTTCCTCTCTCTACTATTGAGAAATGGTGGGAAGGACATTTAGCAACTGGGTCGATTGGTGATTGGAGCAAGGGCATGGAGCCGGCCATGTCATATCAACAGGCCCTAGAACTTGCGCAAGACGATGTGAAGAAACTGGGCGAGGAAAATATTCCTTACATCACCGGCAAGGCGCCCCTGAACGTCACAAGTCGTATTGCCGAAAAACAATACATTGCAACTCTCAATTATCAAGAATCCTTCCAGTGGGGAGAATTCGATCATGGTGTCAACAGGTGCGAATAACTTCCTCAAGAACTTGAACCCCAACTAACACTTTAGTACCAGTCTGATCATCTCAATCACGCTCGTTTGCTTGCCCATAGTTCTTTCGCTGGGTCGATTCATTCCTGGTTATGCCAAGTTAACAAGTCGCATCAACGCGATCCTTGACAAGCCTCTTTGGGGTCACCAACACCGGGTTCCTGTCTGTGGGAATTTGGGGCACATGCCAACTCGAGGCCAGTCCATCTTCATTGCATACATTATTATCATTAATGTCATTCTCCTGTGCCTACCTCTGAGAACTCTGCAGCCGAATGTCAGAATGGTGAGTCACCATATGCAGCGTGTGCAGGTGATCGGTGATCGTGCCGGAGTTCTTGCATTTTGCTTATATATCGCTCTGTTTCTTTTTTCGAGCCGAAACAACATTCTGCTTTGGGTCACAGACTGGAGCCACAGCACATACCTCCTGCTCCATCGATGGGTGGCGTATGTCTGTATTTTCCAGACTGTGATGCATTCGATCCTTCTTCTTCACTACTTTGTCGGTTGGCAGGATCATGCGACAGAAAGCAAGCTCCCGTACTGGTACTGGGGCATCATTGCAACACTGGCAACATGCTTCTTGTACCCGTTATCTCTATTGTCTCTCCGTCAAAAGATGTACGAGGTGTTTCTCGCCATCCACCAGATCCTGGCTGCTCTCATCTTGATAGCAGGGTTTCTTCATATCTGGTATCTCTATTCTTATAATTGGGGCTATGAGATTTGGATTTATGCTGCAGGTGGCATATGGTCCATGGACAAAGCCCTGCGGGTAGTAAGAACAGCCGCCAATGGGTACCGTACAGCAACAATCACTAGTGTGGACGAGAGCAGTGATTTGTTGCGGATCGAAATCGACGACGTCGTTGTGGAAGGGCACGTTTATCTCTACTTCCCATCGCTGAGCTGGCGTGTCTGGGAAAACCATCCCTTCTCTGTTCTCTCCAGCTTCACCGAACTGAAACCACAACCTTCCAGCACAATTCTCGACACGGAAGTTGATAGTGAAAAGGGAAATGGAAATACAGTCACGGCTGTTGATGTCAGTGGCTCGAGTCCTTCAGAAGAGCATCAAATCGCCGGTGCTGCTCCAAACGGGGCTCAGGCCAAAGCGGTCCTCCTGGTACGAGCCCAAAATGGTATAACGGCAACTCTTCTCTCCCGGGTTCGCACCCAGAAAGGAACTCTATCCATCCGAGTGCTAGTTGAGTCTTCCTACCATACAACTCCTTCCACGCGGAACTTAAGAGAATGCTCCAGCTTTGTCGGTATCGCAGGCGGTGTTGGTATCACAGCCGTGCTTCCCATTGCGAGCAGGTTTGGTGGCATTTCTGCCAGGGTTTTCTGGGGCGTGAAGCACGACGATATCTTGCGCTCCATCAAGCCGGAGCTCGAGCAATATAAATCAAAGGTGGGGCTTCACACGACCATTGGCACGCGGATGCCTTTGGACGAGATTTTCAAAGCCGAATTGCTCCGGGAGGATGTAAAAGGGAGTCTAGGTGTCGTAGTTTGCGGCCCACCCAGTATGTCCGATGATGTTAGGAAAGTGGTGACGGAACTTGCTAGCAAATCCAATCGCGGTGTTGTATTCATAGATGAAGCCTTCAGCTGGTAGGACCATCGAAAGCAACTCGTGGAAATGGCAGCGCCAAATATATGATCCTCTCATCTTGAAAATGTAATGATCAATAGGCGAGATAGGCCACGATGTCTAATGTAACATACGCTCGGCTTCGTTCGATTTGCACTGAGCCACCGAGCCCGAGACTCCTGAATGGTTATGTCATATATGCTGGCCTCGGGTTGCATCTCCCCGATATTGCGAAAATAAACACCTGATGAAATTCACAAAAGCTTTTAGATAAAGGTTGTCTCTGTTGCGCGTTTACATTCTTAGAGCTGAATGTTGGAATTAATCATTCACAAGCAGTCTTCATGTTTCTTCCTGGGGCATACGCCATAGGCCATTGACCTATCGAATTGTATGATTCACCCAATTACATGTTGGATTCGTTCGTTCTATACGTTTAGGATTCTATGAAACATTGATAGATCAGTATCAACCTCGCTGTTTTATTACGCCGAAGTCTGAATTCTATAAAAGGTTGGCGTTAGAACGAGCTACCTAGACTACCACTGAGGCGGAAGTTGAAGTTTACAAAATGATTCGCTATATCTTCATTATTTGTCTATTTCTTCCTCTTATTATCTGCGAAGGCAGTGTTCATGTGTCCACCAGTCGAGGTCGTCGAACCTGCACCGTCACCGCGCATGGTGGCGAGCAAAATGACGTTCCAAACATCTTGACGGCGTTTAAGAAATGCAGCAGAAAGTCCACGATAATTTTCCCAAAGGGCGAAAAGTATTGGATTGGAGAAAAGCTACACGCAAGGCTTGAAAACGTGGACATCAGTTGGCATGGAACATGGCTTGTCAGTCAACCTACTCTATACAAGGACAGGAGATACACTAAACTAGATTAGTTTTCCCCCAATACTACATATTGGAGAAACAACTCATATTTTATCGAGTTCCAGAATCACCGCGCAGGGTTCATCTTATCTGGAGATAAGATCCGTCTCAATGGTTATCATGAGGGTGGCATAGATGGCAATGGGGACGTGTGGTACGACGAAGATAAGGGAAGCTCGACTGAAGGACGCCCTATGGTATGCGTTTACTTTCCAAACACGACACACACGCTAACATGGCACTCTGCAACAGCCGTTCGTTCTATGGAACATCACCAACTCAGAGATTCATAACTTCCAAGTGAAGCAGTCCCAGTTCTGGTCTCTGAACATCATGAATGGAACCAATCTAACTTTTGAGAACATTACTTGTATCGCGTTCTCCAACAATGCCCCAGCAGGGAAGAATTGGGTTCAAAACGCTGATGGATTCAGTGAGACATTTCTCAGCTTATGGTCGTGCCATATTGGCTAACGCAACGCTTAGACACGATGGATGCTCGGAATGTTTCTTTGAACAACTTTCTCTACCGTGGTGGAGACGACTGTATTGCGATTAAGCCTAGATCATACGACATCAGAATCAACAACATCACTTGCGATGGTGGCAATGGTGTGGCCATCGGAAGTCTAGGACAGTACCTAGAGGATAGCAGCGTCGAAAATGTGACAATCACAAATGCCGAGGTGAGCTACTATGACTCGTTCAACACGCCATGACTACCCTCATAAACGCTAGATGAGGCGATATAGCTGGGACATGCGCTGGAGTATCTACATCAAAACATGGATAGGAGAGCTGGTTTATCAAGGCGACAACGATTACGAAAACGGAGGCGTGCCTCGGGGCGGCGGTTAGGGCAAGGTCCACAATCTCTTGTTTGAGAACTTTCATCTTCAAGATGTCTCTCGAGGCCCGTTTATAACACAGGAGAACGGTCGGCAAGGCGGTCCAAAAGGAACCAGCAAAATGGAGATAGCAAATATCGTCTTCCGGAATTTCACGGGCAATCTTTTGACTTCAAGTGGGAAGCTTGGAGAGATCTCCTGTAGCGTAGAATTCCCTTGCTCAAGCATACATTACGAAGAGATGGATCGGCTTGAGGCTGCACCAGGAGTCTGTCATTGGACGAAACCTGGCAGCATATTTGGCTTACCCGGATGTTCTGGCTGAGAAGCTATCAACACGATACATAAAAATCGACAAGCCTAATTTTTGCTAGATTATCTTCACTACCTAACTCTGCCTCGATTTATCTCTTGATAAGTACTTAGGATCTGGGCTCTCATAAGAAAATCCCTAAGGCTAGTACGATATATTATAATCCGCCCAAAAAGCTCTCTCACAGTCCTAGTTACTATAAATATAACTCACCACCCAGAAACGGTATGCTTAGGCGAGAGAAGCTCAACAAGCTCTACGGTAACTATTATTGTGGCCAATTACAATTGATGTCGGGCCAAGAGTCTATCTCCGAGTTGCTCAACCTCACAACACCCTCCTGTGTTCCAGGTAGTATTTTCCTCTCTAAACTCAGCGGTTTGATCGACAGCCGAGGTTTTACTTTTGCTAGGATTGGTAAGCAAAAAGGGAAGCCCTTGGAGCAAGGATATATTTGGAACAAGAGGGCGGTCGAGCTTGTCGGACTTGAACGAATCCCGGCCCGCCCATTCAGATCTCACGGAGCCCGAGCCTTGAGACAGGCATCAACAGCCCACAATTCCTTGGCTCATCGGCCACTACGTTGTATCATGCATGCGCATTATCGGTGTTGAGCAAACGCTGATCCAAGTACCGCTCTGCATGATCATGTGTTGCGCCAGCGGTGAATATGGATGAGGCACGACGGTGCCAGCTCAGGCGGACATGTCCCGTTCAGAGACAAACCCCGGGGCAGTCCTATATCCGAGAACACCCACAGAGGGTCGTTCTGCGCTGCTGAGGTCTGCCACCCAGCCGGCCCTGTTACCGGATTTGCCCACCGAGCCCGAGCCCGTCCCCGCCTCCGCATGATGCAACAGAAGGACATGATACAGCGCTCCCAGCAGGTGCGTCACCCAAGAAACGGCACGGTCGTAGATCCCCAAGATAGCCTAGCCAACCCATCGTCTTCGGGATCAGCGAGAAGTGCTCCGCGAGGGGCCACAGCGTTGTCATGCCTCGGCACATACTGCCTGGAGAGCAAGAGGCTGGTTGGCTGGTTTCCTGAGGGAGCAGGGCCGTGAGCTCTGAGCTCTCCACATCTTCTTCCTACCTACCGCTTTGTCGCATTGAGCTCTGAAGTCTCTGACGTGCTGGGGATGATGAACTGCCCCTCCGGGCTAACCCATCGACCCCTGTTTGATACGCGTAAATCCGTCCCAACCGTTATTTCTGGAAGAGTTTTTGCTGCTGCCTATGCCATTTGCAAATTGTAGTATGTACATGCCCAGAATTGGCCATCTGCCCGCGCCCGTCAACGCCACTTCACGGCGATATGCCTGAGATCAGTCAAACACGGGCCAAGCATCCTCCCACCCGCTCCTCCGCTTTACTGCCTTCTCCTCTCGGCTGCGTTGGCGGCTCTGGGTCGAAGCTTTCTCAAAGCAGTTACGCTCCGTACAATGTCCGTCGTTTTTGCCCGCAGGCCCCGGCTGAGACTCCTGGCCTCAGGAATGTGAGGCGAGCGAGCGCGCGCGCCAGTGCCCAGCCCACATGCACTCAATATTTCATCCTGGAACCGGCGCCAACACTCCACTCGATTTTATTAGATTTATAAAAGACGCAATTGCCAGGCTTCACGACCTCCAAGTTCTCCTGTCGTGCCACCACGCTCCTGTCCCAAGGAATCGAAGACGAGCCGCAGATTGGTTCTCCTTTCCCAACCCCAGTTGCACGACTTATACGAAGCAAAGCACTTTCCAGCCACTGACAGCTCACCATGGCGCCCGAGAACCTTTCCATTCACCTCGCTGAGCGCCCGACGGGGGAGATCATCCCGGGGCAGACCTTCTCACAGCAGACCAGCCCGATTCCGTCACCCGCCGACCTGCAGGATGGGGAAATTCTGGTCGAGGTTCTATATCTCTCTCTGGATCCCTCCTTGCGCGCACAGCTAATAGGTAAGTCTATTGCATGGATGCAGAGCAATGCATAAGCCATCAGCCACCGCTCCCAAAAGCCAACGACGATGGAATCCATTACTGCATGCTAATTCTCAAACCCAGACCGCCGATCCTATGTGCCGCCCGTGGCCATTGGCGCAAGAATGAGCGGAATCACCGTCTCCCGCGTCCTCGTCACCAAGTCGAAGCTCGCCGCAGAGGGCGACTTCGTCGTCGCTCTCACGGGATGGACCGAGTACGCGGTCCTCAAGGACGGCCAGTTCGAGCCCCAGGCCAACTACCCCCCCGTCGAGAAGCCCCAGGACATGCTCTCGGCGCTAGGATTGACGGGCATCACCGCCTGGGTCGGCCTCAACAACATCGGGAAGCCGCAGGCCGGCGAGCTCGTGGTCGTGTCGGGGGCTGCCGGAGCCACGGGGAGCGTCGCTGGTCAGATTGCCAAGATCAGGGGCGCCACGGTTGTGGGAATTGCAGGGACGGACGACAAGTGCCGCTGGCTGACGGAGGAGCTCGGGTTTGATGCTGCATTGAACTACAAGGCAGAGGATTTCAAGGAGAAATTCACCGAGGCCACCAAGAACTACATTGATGTCTACTTTGACAATGGTAAGCGGTCCCCTTTCGCAAAACCCCCACGCGGAGAAGTGGAGGCCACCGTTTGATTCGCTTCTCTTGACCAAAGTCCCGAACTGATCCGTTGCGTATAGTCGGAGGGGAGATCCTCGACCTGGCTCTCACCCGAGCCAAGGAACGCGCTCGTTTCATCGAATGCGGCATGATCAGCCAATACAACGGCCCGCCCAAGGGTATTCAAAACTTGAGCCAGCTCATGAAGATGCGTATCCGGATGGAAGGATTCATTGTCTTCGACCACAAGGACCAGTTCCCGCAAGCTCGAACCGAACTCGCCCAGTGGCTGGCTGAGGGTAAATTGAAGAAGGAGGAAACCATCCTAAAGGGCGGGTTGAAGGCGGCCGAAGCTGGACTCCGGGATCTGCTCAGGGGTGTTAATACCGGGAAGCTTCTAGTTGAGGTCAGAGACCCCAATGAGGCCCCGAGAAAATTGTAGTCTAGTCCCTAGTAAAATGATGACACCTTGAACGACAGCTAAGAACGGCACCGGATGATCCGGAGAGTTAATCTATTTTGGGACACAAGTTGTTTGAATCTAGCACTCGCCGAAAGATCAGTTGCGTCCCTTGTTGCTTGCATGTCCCCACAAAAGCACGAAAGACTGAGCTTCAAAGCGTGCTTCGAAGATGCTTCCTCACCGACAGGACGGAAACTATCTTTGTGAAGGAGGTGGTATTCCGCTGCTCAAATTTCCGATCCCCACGGGCCCCTCTTCTTACATGTTGGTTGACATCATGTCCCGCATCACTCAGCATCAAAGCCACCCAGACAACGCCACGCAAACCGACAAAGGGCGGGGTCGCAGTAGCAGCTGCGTTTAGCGTTAATATGTCTTGGGGGGCGGCCGCCGCGAAATTAGAATGGGAAGCCGGCAAGGGAAATCCGCCATGTCGAATGTAACCAGCCTAGGGCTTATGGTTGGCCTGTATTAGTCTCGAAACAAACCCCTACAGTGATCATCCATCTGCATAAAGATACGCGTATTGGCGGGCCAAAGCTGAGAGCATGCTCAGAGTCTCAGAGATGACGATACGACTATACAAATAGGGAAAAATACAATATATAGCGACAATTCCCCTCTCTCCCTTAGACCAAACTCTCTATGTCTCTAGGGAGCTGTCGACACAATGCGATTCTTAACCCAAATCCTGCCCTTGCTGGTCACTGGGGTGGCTACAGCTACACCCTGCTCCAGCAATGATACCGTTTTGGAGCGAGATGTCGTCGTTATTGGAGGCGGCTCGTCCGGCACCTACGCGGCTATGCGGCTGATGGACCAGGGCCATTCTGTCGTTGTCCTCGAGAAGAACGATCACCTCGGAGGCCACACAGTCACCTACACGGACCCCGACACCAACAAGCCATTCAACCTCGGAGTCGTTGTCTACCACAACTCCTCAATCGTCAGAGACTACTTTGGCAGCCTCGGAGTGCCGCTTACCAACATCAACCTCAGTGGTGGTGGCAGAGAGCAGGTCTTTGTCGATTTTTCCACTGGTCGCGTCGTGGACGGGTACACTCCCGTCTCCCCCGAGGCTCTGGGGGCTGCCATTCAAAAGTATGCCGGGATTTATGCTGAGAAGTACCCATATCTCTCTCTCGGCTATGACGTGCCCGACCCGGTTCCCGAGGAGCTGCTGGCCCCTTACGCGGACTTCATCAAGGACAATGACCTCGGTGACATAGTGCAGCAGGTCAATTCCATCGCCGGGTGCAACGGTAATCTACTAGAGAGGCCTACCATCTATGGTCTCAAGGTGTTCAGTCCTCTGCTTGTGCAAGCCGCTGCGGCCGGGTTCATCAATGCTGCGTCGGGAAACAATCTTGATCTGTACAAGGCTGCCCAGGGCCGCTTAAATGATAAGCAGAGCGTCATTCTACAGTCGCGGATCAAGAAGGTCACCAGATCCCAGGACGGTGTCCAAGTTGTGGTCAAGACACCAAAGGGCCGCGTGGTCGTCAAAGCAAAGAAGCTGGTCCTTGCCATCCCACCAACAATTGATAGTCTCACATCTATTGGACTGGACCTCTCGTCAGAAGAAACGGAATTGTTTTCCAAGTTCAAAGGTTTCTTGTATGGGTCTACTGTCTTCACTCATCAAGGAATTGACAACAAGAGGAGTTTCGGCAATGTTGGCACGAATACTCCCTATAACCTTCCAACACTCCCCGGATCATCCTCAATCGGTCCTCTTCTTGCCGGCAATGTCTCGACAAACAAGATATCTGCATATTTTGGTGGTTTGGAGACCGATTTAACTGAACAGGACATCAAGAACCTGGTGAAAGGCGAGTTGGACAACTTGGCAAATGCAGGAAATATTGGACAGGGTGAGCCCGACTTCCAGTATTTTGGGAACCATGCACCATACCATATCCATGTCACTCCTGAGGATATTCGTGCGGGATTCTACAGCAAGCTCTATGCTCTGGAGG